TTGTTACAGAGGAAGAAATGCTTCCATTCACAGACATAACCATTCCAATGAAGAAGTATTTTCACTCATTTATCCTTCCTACATTGTAATTTTTCCTAATTTTGTTTTTATAAGCAACATAACTTACATTCACAAACCATTTCCCCACCTCGATCTCTTTTGACATGGTCTCTCTATGATTTCTATACTGTCCTTGAACTCCTGTGATCAAAGTCATCTTCCTGCATGAGCTACCTTAATAAAAGGGCCTACAGGAGTAATCTACCATGCCCATCTAGAATCCACCACTCTGGATTCCTCTTGTTCCCAATCTGCAGATAGATAAGAGAGCTATTGAACTAGTTGAGGGTGATTCATTCTGACTACATTGAGAAGGTCCTAAATTATGGAGAAGTAAGAATACACATGCAATATTGGAGACCTTTTAGGGCATCTCAGGATGACTGTGTACTTTCATTACGTGTCCAGAGTCAGGCAGATATGCTGGTGGCTCAGCTTTCCAAAAGTTCAGGTTTTATTCATCTACCCTGGCCAAAAATTATGATTGGATGAGTGAAGAAAATGGGATATGGAATTTGCCAGATTTCTCATTGAACTTATTTTTTTATTCATTTATTTTATATAACCACATCCATTTAAATGAAAACAAACATTTATAGACAATATTTGGGAATTTGGGCATCATTCTTTCCAAACTACTTCCTGCTAGTAAGGGGCGCTGTCATGGGGGATTCCAAGAAGATGCAGAAATCCTGGCTGTAGTCTGTAAGGCTGCTTTGTCCAGCTGTTTTGAATGTAGGATCACGTGGTACTCTGTTTCAGGTGGTCTGGCTTGATCAAACCATGTTAGTCGGAAGGAATCCACAGCTTTTCATTTTCTGTGGAAAACAAAAATGGAAATCCTTTTCCCCAGTAACTTGTCCTTGAACTTAAATTTTGGAGTCAAAGCATTTTTTTAAATTTAATTTATTATTTTACATGTTGATCCCAGTTCTCTCTCCCTCCCTCCCTTTTATCCTCTGTGCCCTCTCACATGCCCGCTAACCACCCTTCCCTCCCATCCCCCCACCCCAATTCCATATGTAGGGGAATGCCATCCAGTTGGGGTCATGTAGTATGGTTTCTTTTACAAATGTGGGTGCCTTTGTATTGGGGCATAGATGTTCAGAACTGAGACTTTGTGTTGATGGATTTCTCCTGCAATGAATACGAAATGACTGTCTTCATGTCTTTTGATTAATTTTGGTTTGAAGTCTAACTTGTTAAATATTAGGACAGCCACGCCTGCTTGTTTCTTGGTTCCATTTGATTGGAAAATCTTTTCCCAACCTTTTACTCTGAGGTAATGTCTATCTTTGAAGCTTAGATGTGTTTCTTGTATGTAGCAGAAGGATGGATTCTTTGTATCCATTCTGTTAACCTGTGTCTTTTTATAGGTGAGTTAAGACCATTAATGTTGAGGGTGAGTAAGGACCATTGCTTGTTGATGCTTGTTTGTTTTAGGTTTGTTGTTGGCAGTGTTATTGTGAATACCCTCGGTTTCTGGTGTAGTTAGATTATCTGTTGCCTACATTTTTTGTGGGCGTAGTTACCTTCCTTGGGTTGGAGTTTTCCTTCTAATACTTTCTGTAGGGCTGGATTTGTAGATACGTATTGGGAAAATCTGGTTTTGTCATTAAATATCTTGCTTTCTCCATCTATAGTGATTGAGAGTTTTGCTGGGTATAGTAGCCTGGGCTGGCATCTGTGTTCTCTTAATACTTGTAGAACATCTATCCAGGACCTTCTGGCCTGGAGGGTTTCCATGGAGAAGTTAGGTGTAATTTTGATAGGTCTGCCTTTATATGTTACCTGTCCTTTTTCCTTCACTGCCCTTAATATTCTTTCTTTATTCTGTATGCTAGGTGTTTTATTATATGTCGAGGGGTCTTTTTTCTTTGGTCCAGCCTATTTGGGGTTCGGTATGCTTCTTGTACTTTCTTCAGATTGGGAAAGTTTTCCTCGATGATTTTGTTGAATATGTTTTCAGCACCTTTGAGCTGGGCTTTCTCACCTTCCTCCATGCCTATTATTCTTAGGTTTGGCCTTTTCACGGTGTCCCACATTTCCTGGATGTTTTGTGTTAAGGATTTGTTGGATTTATGATTTTCTTTGGTCGAAAAATCTATTTCTTCTAGTTTATCTTCTGCGCCTGAGATTCTCTCTTCCATCTCTTGAATTCTGTTGGTTATGCTTGTGTCTGTAGTTGCCGAATTTTTTGCCCAGTTTTTCTATTTCCAGCATTCCTTCAGTTTGTGTTGCCTTTATTTTCTCTATTTCAATTTTCAAGTCTTGAACCGTTTCCTTCACCTGCTTAATTGTTTTTTCTTGGCTTTCTGAACTTTCTTTACTTTCCTTAAGGAATTTGTTCATTTCTTCCACTTTTTTGTTTGTTTTTTCCTCCATTTCTTTAAGGGATTTTCTCACATCTTCTTTATGGGCCTCTATCATTTTTATGATGGTAATTTTTAAGTCTTTCCATTCTTCTTCCTCTGCTTTGTTGTTGTGTTCCATTCTAATTAGTGTAGGTTCCCTAGATTCTGGTGGTGTCATGCTTGTCTTTCTGTTGTTAAGTGTTTTCTTGTATTGCCGTCTTCCCATAGCTTCTTCCAGTAGGTGTTGGTGGGGTCTCCCCCTGTCTCTATGGTACTTCCCTGGTAGGCTTATGTGGGTAAGAGGTTCAATATCTGTAGCTCTGGGTGGTCCAAGCTTTATAGGAAGTCTCTCCGCAGACAGGGACTCAGGGATGGGGTCAGGGATGAGGATCCAGTAGAAGATACTTGCAGAAACTCAGAGTGGTCCCGCAGAGATAGGCAGATCTCTGGGAGGGGCCCGGGACTCCAGCAGAGGACTGGAGGTGGGGTCAGAGACCAAGCAGGTGGAAATTATGTGTGGTCCCACATGGATAGGCCGGTCTCCTTTGTTCAGAGTTGCTCTGAGAAGTCCCCGAAGTAGGGTGGACTGTTGGCTCCACCCTCTGTCCCAGTGCTCAACCAGAGCGGTGGCGGGACAGTGGACAGGGTAGGGTACAGGGTAGGGAGGGCAGGCTCGGGTGGGGATGGATGGGGGTGTATCAGCGCTCCAAGGATGCTCTCGATGGGGACAGGACACAGGAGCAGCAGGATCAGGGGCCAACCCCCATATTTTTCTTTCTTAAAATTAATTTTTTATTTAAGTTGAATACAAGCAAATATTTGTCCATATTTCAGTTTTGTCTCCATCCCTTCCTCCTCTCCCCCTGCCGTCTCCCAATCCCACCCCTTATCTACTTCTCAGAGTGGGTGAGCCTTCTATGGTGGATCAACGGTCTGTCATATAACAATTTGAAGATGATATGATTGTTTACATAAATTATGTAAGTTTAATTAGAACCTTTCCATTTCTCTCAAGGAGATAAGGAAACAAGCAAGCTTGAACCATAACGTCTTATACTTTAGAATATAATTTAGAAGGAAACTAAGTTGCTTGTCCCACAGGCAGGTCAGGTTAGGGGAATAATAGAGAAGGAGAACACACAAAGAAAAATCTTGATAGATCGAAGCTTTATGGGTTTAATGAGAAACCCACACTAAGGAAATTCCCAGGAACCCACATGTACAACTCAACTAAGAATCTAAGCAATAGTAAAGAGTGAGTCAGAACAGGTCTTCCCCATGATGAGGTTGATGACTACCTTAAATGTCATCACAGAGCCTTTATTCTGTAGCTGATGGAAGCAGGAGCAGACACCTACAGCTAAGCACTGAGACAACATCTTGGAATCTGGCTGTAGAGAGGGAGCAGTAATGAGCAATGGGACCAAGACCATACTGGTAAACCCACATAAACAGCTGATACAAACAAGTGGGAGCTCTTCAATGACTTAGGCTGAAAGCTGTGGAAACTGCATGAGACCAAACTACAACTCCTTATTGTGGCTGTCTGTTGGGTGGCTTGGACTGTTTGGGACCACTGGCAGTGGGACCAGTATTTATCTATAATGCATGAGTGGGCTTTTTGCAAACTATTTACTTTTGAGGGATACCCTCTCAGCCTTGATACAGGTAGGAATGCCTTGGTCTTGCCACAACTGATGTGAAAGACTTTGATGATCCTTCATGGAAGGCCTCAACCACTTTAAGGAGTGGATGGGGTTGTAACGGGCTTTTGGTGGGCAGCATGGGAGGATGGGAGGGGGAAGGAACTATGCTTGGGATGTAAAATAAGATTGCTTTTAATTTAAATAAAAATTAACTTAAAAATAAATGTTACTAATTCAGTTAGAGAACAGGATATGCATAGATTTCACAAGCAAATGAGAACAATCGCATGAAAATTATCAATGTACTTTAATGGTGGATACAAATTCTAAACACAGTACAGGTGTGATCCACCTATTCTTAAGCTCAGAACTGTGGAAGGATGAGTAGTTAGATTGCCATGATTTCAAAATATCATGGTATTCATAGAAGATTCAAGGCAAATACACATTATAGTAAGGTCCTATATGCATGAATATACAACCTAGATCTGATATGTGAAAAGGTAAGTGGCTCTTTTTCAAGGAGAATTTCATACAGTTAGATGAAGAAATAATAGCTCTTAGAACCAAATACATAATATGTAGTGGATATTAGTTTTTGCCATGACCTTTGGACTTTTAGAACAAATACTTGATCTCTTACGAGGAAGGAGAGTGGGTGATTGCTCTCTCTTGAGTGGTGACAACTATTTCAGGCAGTGTGAAACAGGAAGTGATTGGTGGCCAGCTTCCAAAGGACTCCAACTGGATCTATCATATCCTATATTCCTCAAAGAATTTTCCTCCATCACATCTTACTAAATCCTAGATACCCCTTAAGCAGATGCACAGTGATTTCTAATTACAATATAATAATTTTATATTACAAAATGAGCATGCTGTATATTGGACTTAATATTTGGAATTAATATTTAAGAGAAGAAGAAAATGTATTTTTAAACTAGGTTTTGAGAGACTTATTTCTTCTGGGGTGGTTTCTCTCCCTCATATATTGAAGAGAGTTTTTATCTGGTTTTAACAAGATAATGTAGCACTTTGGGGCAAAGATGAAGCCAAGAATTGCTGCACTAGAAGCCAAGATAGAGAAGACTTCCATAGCCACCATGACCTTCCCCTTTGTGCTGTGGTAGACTGGGAGGAATGTGACCCAAACACAGAAGAACACCAGCATGCTGAATGACAAGAATTTTGCTTCATTGAATGTGTCAGGCAGATTTCTGGACAAGAAGGCCATGATGTAACTTCCTAGTGCCAAGGAGCAGAGATATCCCAGAACACAATGGAAAGCAATAGCTGAGCCCTTGTTGCACACAATGATGACATGCCCATATTCAGCATGAGCATCTTGGTCAATGTAGGGTGGGGAGATTCCTAGCCATATGCAACAGAGAATAAGTTGGATGATGGAACAAAAGGGGATGATGAAGTTTGGGGCTCTTGATATTATTAACCACCTCACCACTCTCCCTGGAAATGTGATCCTGAAGGCAATGACCACAGTAATAGCTTTGGCCAAGACAGTGGCAAGAACCACAGTGAATGCACCTCCAAATGTGGTCTGCTGCAGGATACAGGTAACAGTGTTGGGACGGCCAATGAAGAGCAAAGAACAGAGGAAACAGATGGTGAGTGCAATCAGCAAGATGTAACTGAGGGACCGGTTGTTTGCCTTCACAATGGGAGTATCTTTGTGCTTTACAAAGACGCCAAGAACCACAACTGTGAGTGCAGAGAAGCACAGGGCTATACAGGTGAGAATCATCCCTAGGGGGTCTTCATGAGCTAGAAAACTGACAGCTTTCTGGAGACAGTGGTTCTTCCCTCTGTTGGCAAAATGATTTTCTGGACACTTCATACACTGATCCACATCTGGAATGAAAGATGTCAATGTGAGTCTATGATGATTTGATACCTGTTTTAATTATTTTTCCTATTTTCTGCTCATTACCTAAGTAACCTTCCTGTTTTTCTTTGAGACAAAGAAATAAGTACTCTGGTGAATTTTTTAAAAATCATGTTTGGTGGAAAGTATGATTGACCACAGACTGGGAATATCAAAATAAATTTAGGTCTTCAAAAGGCAGGTTTTAAAGTACTCTTTTCTTGAAAATTTGTGAATTTAACATACATGCACATTGAGCTGTATGTGTCATATTTTTATGTCAAAGATTTTACTTTATCTTAGATACTGAACTCCTGAGTCACCACAAGCTTGCACGCAGGTGATATACCTGCCTCCAGGAGGTGCCTCCACCCATGCAATCCAATGGATAGTGTCTCTCCAATAACCACTGATCCACATAACCCCAAACACCCAAAAAGACTCCCCATAATCAGTCATTTCCCATAACCCCAGCAGAGTACATTAGGCATAGGAACAATCCACATTGTTGGAAAAAACAGCAGACTTCACAGACACAAAGCCATATCAGCTGGAAGCAAAGATGAATAAATGTCCATGAAAGTGTATACACAAAAATAAAATTGCAATGTAGCATCAACAGACCTCAATGATCCAATAGCAGCAAAACTGAATTTTCCAACCAATGTGAAACACAATAAAATTCACTTAAAATTTCAACATTAATAATTTAAGGATCTTAAGGAGTAAATGAAAATTTCCTTAAAGATGTTGAGAAAAAGACAAATGAAAATTGGGAGAAATCAATAAATACACTAAATAAAGTATAGAAAGAAAACAAAACACAAATAGCTTAAGTAAATATTTTGATCATTGACAAAAGTTATAGAAACAATAAATAAAGCATAAACTGGGATTGTGGAAATAGAAACACACGATAAACAAATAAGCAAAAAATGTTAAGCGGTAAATGCCTTCTCAGGTCTGCTTTAGCGGCAAAGATCTCCTTTGCAGTAAGGAAGAGGCAAATGTCCCAAAGCTGTGGTGAGTCCACCTGGTTAAACCCTGCCCGTTGGGGAAGGTGGGGGAGGGGGGGAAGGGGGGACGGCTTCTGCCACCTGGGCGAAACCCAGGTAAATCCGCTTCTGACACCAGATAACGCGGTTAAATAAGGATCAGGATAAACAAATAGGCCGAATAGATGTTTATTCAGGGAGAAATAACTTACAACCTAGACAGATGAACACCAGGAAATTCAACCCTACCCTCCGACCTCCTTCCACAGGTAACTCCACCCATGGCTCCACCCCCCAATGGGCGTGGTCAGTGCCACAGAACTATCTCACTGCAAGTACCCGTTGGAAACAGAAGCAAACACCCATAACTAAACACAGCCGAATTAGAATCCAGATGCAGAGAGGGAGGACAAGACCAGGCTGCAGAAATACATAGAGACAGCTGACCAGAACAAGGAGACTGATAGCTGGGAATCCAGCATGGGACTGACTCAGACCCCCTGAACGTGGGTCTCAGCTAGAAGGCATGAGCAGTCTAAGGGACCTCGGGCAGTGGAACCAGGATGTATTTCTGATGCACAAAAGGACTTTGGGGGCACATCCCCCATAGAGAGATACTCCCTTAACCTAGAGACAGGAGAGAAGTCCTAGTCCCTACTTCAAATGACTTGACAGATTTAGATGACCCCTCCTGGAGGGCATCACCCTACATGTGGAGTGGGGATGGATGGGAGGGGAGGGTGGTTGGGGGGCATGAGAGGGTCAGAAAGAGGGAAAGAGGGAGGGAGGGAGAGGTAACTGTGATATGTAAAATAAAAATAAAAAATACATTAATATAAAAAATAAAAATGTTTAAGGTCTGTAAAGGAAAAGGGCCAAGTTATATATAAAGGTAGACCTATTAAAGTTACACCTGACTTCTCAGTAGTGAATATATAAACCAGAAGGACAGACATTTTACAACCACTAATAGACCAGGAAAGCCAGCAAAACTTTCAACAATATATAGAGAAAAGAATGTTCATGACAAATTGTGATTTTAAAAATGCAATCTACAAATCCTGCCCTACAGAATGTACTAGAAGGAAAATTCCAAGCAAAGGAAGTCAGTTACAACCATCATAACACAGGCAACAGATAACCTCCTAGAAGTAAATGCCAAGGACTGGAACACAAAGGGCCACATACTCATCATAAAGTAAATGTTAATACATACAAAAACCTGGAATAACCGACCAACTATTGAAGCAACCACTAGTATCTTATTGCATCACAGTTGGAGTTCAACAACACAAAGTACAGAAAATCTAAAAACTAATGAAATGGAAAAACTCTTAACTGGGCTAAGGAACAAATAAAAGAGAACTTAAAAATAACAAAATTAGAATGTTCCTTTAAGCAATGAAAATGAACCCACCATGAACTTTAGAGACATAATAAAGGCAGTACTCCGAGGAAAGTTTATAACACTAAAAGAATGGAAAAAGAATTTGGAGATAACTCACACAAGTGTCTTAATAGCACACCAGAAATCTGTAAAAAAAATAAGCAAACACACCCAGGAGGAAAGAAACACCCCAAGGAAAGAAAAAACAATCCCCATAAAAAAGCAAAACCAAACAAACAAACACACATAAACAAACAAACAAAAACAACTCAAGGCTGAAATCAATAAAAAACAAAAGAAAACATAAACAATTAAACAAAGTGTTAGTTCTTTAAGTAAATCAACAAGATAGACTAACCCTGCTTCAAACTAATCAAAAGGCAGAAAAACAGAGAATATCCAAGTATTCAAAATGAGAAACAAAAAACAGTTATAACAACAGAATCCAAGGGATAAAGAGAAATATTAGGACAAACTTCAAAAACATGTACTCTACTAAATAGAACAAAACTAATGGAAATGGACAAATTTCTTAATACATACCACATACTAAAAACAAGACAACATGAACAATTTAAAGAGAACTGTAACATGTAAGACAATAGAAAGTCATTAAAAGTTTCCTTGACAAAAACAACACAGAGCAAGATGCTTTCCTCAAAGAATTCTGATATAAATTTAAAGAACGTCTCTGTAAGCCCACATTTACCTGTCTCATTGGAAATCTCATTGTCTGGACAAGAAGTGCAATCATAGCAGCAGACAGCCTTGCCCTCCAGGGCAACTTTCCTGAATCCAGGTCCACATCTCTCATTGCAAACAGAAGGAGGAATCTGGGAAGAACAAAGGACAGGTTTTCAAAGGCTTAAAATTGCATAAGAAACCTGGATATGTAAGATTGTGTATATTGTACAAGTAATTCTTACTATTATTCTTATAAACAAAGAATATGGTTTTAATGGCTAAGTCCATTAAAAAGGCCAATGTGTTTACAGATTGATGAAGAGATTATCACCATTATTATAATTTTAGCAAGTGTTTTCAGAAAATGGATGAATTATGCTAGACACTATGTGGTGGTTTGAATAAAAATCAATGTCCCTCAGTCATGGATATTTAAATGTTTATTTTCCCATTGGTGTCATTAATTGTATTAATGTATTAGATACAGACTTGCTGAAGGAATTAGGCCATTGATGTGCCTTTAAAACATTTATAAATATTCCTTCAATCCCAATTTCCTTTTGCTACTACTTGTGAAGACATTTCCTCTTAGATTGCTACTCCTTGCTCCATGGCTGTGACTTGATATTATGCCTCATTACTACTACACATTCTTCTACCACCTGAACCATAAATGGTAATGAGCTATTTCAAATTATGTTTGGTCATGTTTCATCAAAACTACAAAGTGTAAGTATTACATAGAATGCCAGTCACTGAGCATATGTTTTCAGCAAGACACTGACCATGAGAAGTTTTAGGTATTGAGAATTCCTCCTAACAGATGTCCCAAATTTGTGTTTAGATGACAAGAAGTCATCCATACACAAACATTAACATTCATAATTAAAGTGAAATATTTCCATTCATCAGAATCAAGGAATGAGAAGACAAACTATTAATAGTGGCTTTTTTTTTATTTCCTATAAGTAATTTAATAGTGATAGACCTTGAGTGTGAAAAACAACAGATTACAACAACGAGAAATATATTCTTGGTATCATAGTAAGTTGAAATTATTGAGCTAAAATTCAACACACCTCTGAAAATTTTTCTGGCCATTGTATCATCTGCTCATGTAAAGACAACTGTTGATGTTGGGCAGTATTTGAGGAAAACGTTCCTACTTTCACCTTTAATCCAAGACCCTTGGGAAAATTCCAAAAGTTGAGAATGTCATACTCAGCATCTGATTTCTGTTTCCAATCTAAACTTGTGTTGTCTTCCACAATAATCTTCCTCAGGAAATGGTGAAGCTAAAAAGGGAGGAACTGTGTTAAAGTGCACCCAAGAAGTAGAAAAGAACTTCATCATTGAGTTTTCCTCTTTGGTGTAAATCTCTGATATAAAAAAATAACAGTGTTGTTGATCAATGGTAGCATAAGTGAGTAGAATTCCAGTCTTCCTTTGAATGAGTGGTCACCATCAAGAAAAACTTGGACCAAGCTCAAGAAAGGAATCAGTAGATCCTGAATATGACAAATATCAACTTGAGAATGTAGCCAAACTAATTCATTTTGGAGTAAATTCAGAATTTCAGTGTGTATAATGAGGGAACTGATAACTAAAGGGTGACTAAAACATTCATTTAGAGTTTAATGTAATGTTGTAATGAGCTGTATTATTACTTCTCTTAAGTACTTTCTCCCACAATTACGATTTTGAGAAATATACAAAGTGATTCTGAATTTTTCTTAGGAAAATATGTCCCATGAGACAATTGTGAGATAATTAGTGATTAAAAACTAGATATTGACTGATCAAAATTACTCCTTCCCTCTTGCACCACATTCCTCAGCAAGATTTACACATAGAAGTTGAACTTTGAATTTTTAAAGAAAAAAGAACATAACTGAAAATGGGAATGTTGAACTATGAGTCTTTAAAAGAAGAAATTAAAGGTGATACCAGAAAATGGAAAGATCTCCCATGCTCTTGGATAGGTAGGATCACCGTAGTAAAAATGGTAATCTTACCCAATGCATTCTATTTATTCAATGCTATCCCTATCAAAATACCAGCACAATTCTTTGCAGACCTTCAAAGAACAATACTCAACTATATATGGAAAAACCAAAAACACAGGATGGCCAAAACAACCCTGTACAATAAAGGAACTTCCAGATTCATCACCATCCTGGACTTAGAGCTCTAATATAGAGCTATAGTAATGAAATCAGCTTGATATTGGCAAAAAACAGACAGGCATACCAGTGGAATTGAACTGAAAGCCCTGATATTGATCAACACACCTACATACCTCTGACTTTTTTTTACACAGAAGCTGAAATTATACAATGGAAAAAAACATATTCAACAAATGGTACTATCATAACTGGATGCTGACATGTAGAAGACTGCAGATAGACTATATCTATTGCCATGCACAAAACATGGGTCCAAATGGATCAAAGACTTCAATATAAGTGCAGTCATAATAAACTTCTTACAAAAGAAAATGGGAGATACCCTTGAACTAGTTGGTGTAGGAGACTGCTTCCTGAAAACAAAGGCAGTAGTGATGGGAGATGTCATTTTGTAAATATGTTTCTCTTATTGGTTAATGAATAAAACACTGTTGGCCAATAGGAAAGCAAGATAGGTGGAATTAGGAGACTAGGAGGAAAGAGGAAGGAGTAGGGAGGAGATTCAAAACGGAAGATGTAGAGAGTAGAACGCTGGGCCCTCTCTCTGGTAAGATAAGACCATGTGGAAGTAATTAAATTAATAGAAATAGGTTAATAATTAAAACAGAGCTAGCCGATAAGAAACTAGTAACTGACCAACAGCATTTATATTTAACACAGAGTCTCTGTGTGTTATTTGTGCCTGGTGTGGCAGTGGGACCTTACCAGGCTGGCAGAAAAACCTACTCTTAACACAGTAGTATAGTCATTGAGATCAAGTATCAATAAATGGAACCCCCTGAAACTGAGAAGATTCTGAAAGGCAATGGATACAGTTGAAAAGACAAAACAGCAGCCCACAGAATGGGAAGAGATCTTCACCAACCACACATCTCACAGAGGACTGATTTCCAAAATATTCAAAGAACAGAAGAATCTAGTCACCAAAACACCAAAAAAAAAAAAAAAAAAAAAAAAAATTAAAAAGTGGTATACAGAATTAGAGAATTCTATATAAAGGAACCTAAAAGACACTTACAAAAGTGCTCAACATCCTTATCCATCAAAGAAATCCAACTCAAAACAATTCTGAGATACCATCTTTTTTCCTGTCTGAATGGCTAAAATTAGAAATTCCAATGACAGCTCTTGCTGGAGAGGATGTGGAGAAAGGGGAACACCTTCCTACTGCTGGTGGGAGTGCAAACTTGTGCAGCCATTTTGAATAACAGTATGGCAGTTCCTCAGGAAAATGGGAATCTATCACAGGACCTGGAAATTCCATTTTTATGCATTTCAAAGGATGCACATTCATTCAACAAGGTCATCTGTTCAACTAAGTTCATAGGAGCATTATTTGTAAATGTTAGATCCTGGAAGCAACATAGATGCCCCTAAGTCAAAGAATGGATAAAGAAAGGTGTTACATTTACACAGTGGAGTACTACTCAGTGGGAAAAACAATGAAATCTTAAAATGCAATGGCAAATGGATGGAACTAGAAGAAACCATCCTAAGTGAGGTAACCCAGTCTTTCTGTGTACATGGTATGTACACATTCATATATGGGTTTTAGCATAAAGCAAATGATTACCAACTAATAGATGAAACCTTCAGAGAAGCTAGGATACAAGGAAGACTGTAAGGGAGAAATCCATGTTCCCTTGGAGAAGTGGAAAAGGCATAAGAAGTCGTAAACAAATTGGGAGCTTGGGGAAGGGATGAAGGCTGTAGGAGAAAGAGGAGGAGGACTGATGAGGATGGCGGAGAAGAACCTGAGGGATCAGGAAAATTGAGATGTAAGACGAAGAGAGGAGAGCAATAAAATTAATACAGGGAGCCATTATAGGTTTAAACAGAAATATTGCACTAGGGAAATGTCCAATGATCCACAAGGATGACCCCTACTAAGAATCTAAGTAATAGTGGATAGGCTACCTTAAATACCATTCCCTTAAATGAGACTGATAACTATGTTAAATGCCATACTAGAGTCTTCATCCAGTGGTGGATGGAAGCAAAAGCAGATATCCACTGCTAAGCAGTGAACCCAAATTCTAGAATCCAGTTGCAGAGACAGAGGATTGATCAGAAAAGGGGTAAAGTCCATGTTGGGGAAACCCACAGAAACAGCTGACTCGAGCAGGTGGGAACTCATGAACTCCAGCCAGACAGCTGGGGAATCAGCATAGGTCCAAAACAGATCCCTTTGTAGGTGAGTAACAGTTAGGAGACCTGGGCATTCAATGGACTCTGGGAGCCTATTTCCCATTGGAGTGCAACTATCTCAGACTAAAGAGGAGAGGGCCTAGTCTGTGACCCAAATTATATGACAGATATTGACAATCTCTCATGAAATGCTTCACTCTCCTTGGGTAGTAGATGGTGGTCTGATGGGAATGTCAGTGGGGAGCATGGGAGGATGGGAGTGAGAGGGAACTGGGATTGACAAGTAAAATAAGATTGTTTCTAATTTAAACAAAATAAATTTAAAGAAGTTGATTAATCATTTGATTCATGGAAACTTAGAGACTCTCCTGTGCTTTATAATGAAATTCATAATAGCTAAATCTGTGCCTTAGTGAATCCTCAAATTTTCACATTGCTGGTGTTCCAGTGCAATGGAAGGGACTTTACCTGCCAAGGGAAAAACACCATTGTCATCCCATTTGCATGTGGCTGTAATTGTACTTGTTGAAGACTCATCTCATGAAGACTTTTGGCCACAGCATACACAGCTTTATATATATTGAAGCTCTCTTCATTCATGGCTGTATTAAAAATGTGTCTAGGCAAGAATTCCAAGGAAGCATTGGGTTGGCATATCTCTAAAAGTTGACAATCAAGCTCAGAAAATCGGCACTTAAAGAACAAATGCCACAATTTGGGAAGGTAATTGTCTTCTGGGTATTTATATGGATTAACTCTTCTAATAAAATTGGTGAACTCAATCATTTCTTCATAGTGGTGTTCAAAAATGAAACTCCCATGGAAAGAGTCTAGCATAAAATATTCAGCGTGGTTTGTTGCATCCCATTGAGAATTCATAACCCAGACCTTCTGTGTAAAATACTGTTGCCCTAGATTTCGCATTAATCCTTGAAGAGAATCAGTGTCACCATAAATAATGATTACATTGGCCAGTGATTCTCGTATCTTTTCCAGATTTTTCCAAAATTTATTGGAAAATGAATTCCAGGTGCCTGGGATCATTTCTACAAAAGCCATGCATACTCTACTACTCTGAAACTTTTCTCTTAAATCTGACAGAATATTTGTCCCTCTGTGGTCATCAGGGAGGAGCAGACCAACCCAGGTCCAGTGGAAATGAACCATCAAAGAGACAATGGCATGGGACAGAAATGTGTCTTTGGGAGACATCTGGTACAATGAAGAAAACTGTCCTTGGTTGCTCAATATAGGATCAAAAGGCCCAAAAGTAATCTGAAAAGAACACAGGATAGGAAACAAGGGTATGAACACTGGCATTAAAGATAATCGCAGTAAAAAACAAGTGACATTAGTCAGTTTGAAATTATGTTCACCTTGAATTTAATGACAAATATATCTGACTGAGATTTCCAGTAAATTACTGACACATCTTCCAGATTTAATATCACATCTTGTCTGGTCTATCATATCCTTTTTAAAATTATTTTTTCTTATTTTACATATTGATGCAAGTTCCCTTTCCCTCCCATCCTCTCATGTGCCCTGACTCGCCCACATCCAGTTCCCCACTCTCTGCAAAGGTATTGTGAGGCTTTCCAGTAGGGGGTCATCAAAATCTGTCAAGTCCTTTGGAGTAGGGTTTAGACCCTCCCTCATGCCTCTAGGCTAAGGGAGTATCCCTAGATGGGGAATGTGCTCCCAAAGTCCGTTTGTGCACCAGGAATCCATCTTGGTTCCACTGTGAGGACCCATAGACTTCCCAGGCCTTATAACTGAGACCCATGTTGAGGGGGTCTGGTCAGTCCAATGCTGGTTTTCAGCTATCAGTCTGCAGTGCTATCATATTATTTTTTTATGTTCTAAACCAAATAAATATGGGTTAATCTCCAAGCGTCTGGACAACTGCGCTTTATAGATGTACAAATAAAGTATCTTATTGTTTTCTTTCAAAGACACTTGAAAGTTCCTCTACAGGGATCTAGCTCTCTTATTTCACACTATAACCCACCTGTGGGAATTTGTAGAGTTGCAGGAGTGTCCCTATGTGGGCAGATGTTGTCCATGATGTTCCTGTGAGCACAGCAGCTGCCTTGTTCTCCTTTTTACAGTTGTAATTAGAGAGGGGATTGCTCAGCCCTGTGAGCCAAATAGCAGCATTCATAAGAATTTGAATATCATTGTATGGGACATTATAGAAATCAAACCCCAGAGATATGTTTGGTAGAAGGTATGGATTCTTGTTGATCTCTTCAACAGCAAAGACTAGAGCCAGAAGAAACTGGTAGTTTCTAAAATTATACCTGCATAGATAACATGAAAATACTCAAGACTGCAGAGACTATGGGTATCTACAGATCTCATTCAATATCTTTTCTAGTTCAAATTTTAGTGTTTACTTAAAATCCATAGTTAATCTATATATTCAACTGACTGCAATTCAGAACAGCATATTATCTTGTTAGTGTAAGTTTTTATAAGTGGGTCTCTCAATTTTGAAAGTTCCAAGAGTCATGTCTTTATATATGTTTCTATATTTTATACACTAGCAATTCTCTATAGATATCAACAAAGATACTCACAAACAACAACACCTGCATTGCCTCACTGATATTGGTGAGCAATTGGTGGCCCATTTGCTATGATTAAGTCTATCAATTTCCAAAGAAAATACCCTATTTAATAGGTCCAAAATTAATGGAATACCTCTAGAGATACAGTTTTACTTTGAAAATATTATTTAGTTTGATTTTATAATATTTTGTTACTTGTGTGCATAAATATCTTACTATGTGTGTTTAAGTACAAGAATTTTAAATACTATGTTTGTAAGACAAAGTATAACCTTCAGCAGCAGTCATAGATTTCCAAGTTCTATCAAAAGACTCATTTTAGAGTTCTCACCCCAATAAATACATCCAAGGGTTTCTAGTATATTTTTCCCCATTACAGCACATGATCCCTGAATTACATATACTCTCATATAGTTTCTGAGTGTCTGATCAGGTGGTCTCATTAGTATCTGAAGCCTTTTGCTTTTTACACATCCATTATCTTAATGTCAAAGTTTCCAATTCAGAAAAGATTGTTTTAAGAAACCTAACACACAAGACACAGGCATGGAGAACCTCCATTTTAGTTGGTAGTTATAGGGGTGTTAAAGACACACCATTCCCCCAAAAGAGCCTACCACCACGGCCCTTAGTGACCTTCAGAAAAACAAGGGAATGCCTAGTTGCTAAAGACACTACACCCTTCAGAATGAGGATGTGGATGATCCAATATCTATTTGTCCTGGAACCTCTTCCCAGAGGAGTACCTTTAATAGTTACACAAAGAGCTATGCAAACTTCCTATGTAGAAATGCAAGCAACAGTCTTATCCAATTGTAAGGCAAATAATCCACTAAAAGAGAAACATGACAAGATATTCTGGTAGGTGCATTTACATCATTTATAGCCTTGGAAAACCTATAGTTTACTAATTGTGTTTAAAAGCTCCTAGAGAGGAAGAATTGCAAGCATGGAAAGTTGTATTTTGACAGTTTCCTTTGTCTGGTGAGGCCATAAAGTCAAGAGGAGATCCAATTTCTGCCAATTTACTAAACTAGTATAACCTATAACTGCATTTTAAATACTTAAAATTATATCCACATATGAGTTTTATTATCAACTTGTATCAAAGAAGTAACTTTATGCAGCTACATAGACCATTATATGATGTCACTAATAGATAAAATTTGTGCTTCCTATTAATGCATTTACTATATAACACCTACACCTAAGGCTCAAAGAATATTTTGGAAGAGAAGAAAAATATTAAGAACCAGAGGACCAGGAAATCAGCTGTAATATAATTGGTTTAACACAAAAAAAGAGAACATTAAGTTGGTTGTGGAGTAGGAGGGAGAATTTGGAATAGTTGGGGAATTTTGGAAATTAGAGAGATTGTGATATGTTACATAAAACTCACTAAGAATTACCTAAATATTATTTACAATATTGGAAAAACATTATTATTTTCTTTATGATGGATATATGCACTAAGAAGGAGATTAATTATCCTTATACAACTGTAATAGTTAAGAGATATAAGTGATGCTTGGTATATAGTTGCACAGGAGAGTATTGGCTCTATAGGTGTAACATTAATTTTCTCCTTTGACAGTTTTCAGACCTGATCATGTACAATAAAGTCAGTAGACTGGTAATGGTAGCAGAATTCACAGACACATTAGTAGGAAAGCTTAGAAATCTCAAAATGATTGTATTGTTTTCCAAGTATTTCCAGCATCACATAATTCCCATTACACACCAGTAGAGATATCATTGTTTACTTATTTGATTGCAGTAAATACACAAATTAACAATGAATAATCCAATGTTTTGTTATTCACATCAGATATCAATAGACAAATGTCTGAATTGTTACTGGAGGCAAATGCAGCAATTGGTTGGACACATCTATTCCTATAACTAAGAGTTTGAGAAGAATGATCCCAGAGACCATACCCACTCAGTCTACTCATCACTAGCTGCAAATACCAGCAAGTACTCCCCACAAACTCACAGGTGAATAGACAATTAAAACAGGAATCACATACCAAACACACACTCTGAGAATACAGAGATAAAACAGAAACCAATAAAGAAAATACCAACTTAAATAAGAGAAAAACAGAAATCAGGGCCTGGAAGTATAAACAGCCAAACTCCAGATGCATAGACACCAGGGTAAGAACACAACTGACAATAGTTTCTGCTTAAACCAGAAACAAGTTACCATGCTACAGCAGGCCCTGAACATTCCAGCACAGTCGAAGCACAAGAAAAAAGATCTTAAAACTAATTGTATGAAGATGAGAGTTGTCTTTAAAGAAGAATTCTTTAAATTGCTTTAAAAGTCCAGGCAATGAAACAATTGGAGCAATCCATAAATTCCTTAAAGAAAGCTAAGAAAAACCAGTTGAAGTAAACAAGTAGAATTGTTCAATACCTGAAAAGGGAAATAGAAGCAATGAAGACAACCCACACTGAGGGAAATCTGCCTATGAAAAATTTAAGAATGAAAATAGTAAATACAAAGACAGGCTTCACCAACCAAATAGAAGAGATAAAAGGGAGAAGCTGAGAGAGAGAGAGAAAGAGAGAGAGAGAGAGAGAGAGAGAGAGAGAGAGAGAGAGAGAGAGAGAGAGAAGCTATGGCTTTGAAGATACAATAGAAGAAATGGAAAAATCAGCCTAAAGAAAAGTGTTACATCAAGGTAATCTGGGACACTATAAAAAGACTAAACCTAAGTAATACAAGGATAGGGGAAGAAGAATCCCAGCTGACAGGCAGAGCATATATATTCAACAAAGTCATATAAGGACATTTTTTAACCTAGGAAACAAGAAGAATCCTAAAAAATGTACAATAAGTTTAGAGAACACCAAACAGATGGGATGAGCAAAGAAAGTTCCATTGTGACACAATAAAACAAGAACTATATGGGACAATGAAAGAATATTAGAATTTTCCAGAAAAAAAAGAAGTAAAATATAAAGGGAAACCTTTTAGAATTATAGCTTTTTCACAAACGAGGACTCTCAAAAATTAAAGAATTATGACAGGTGTCTTGCATAATCCAAGAGACTACTGATACCAGATTATTATACCCAGCACAATTTCAGTCATCATACATGGAAATTATTATATGCCATGTAAGTTCAAATTAAATACACACACATATATTTTCATATATAATGATCTCATCATATGGCATGTGCTAGAATGAAACCTGTAATCCAAGGAGGCTTGCAACATCCATTGCTTTCACTACAGTAAATAATAATATCACACTATAAAAATAATTCAGAAAAGAACCCACCACACACACACATACACACACCCACATCCCACCAACATCTCAAACACCACCACCACCAACAACAACATTCTGCTACTGTTGAAACATACCTGAACATCAAAGTCAATATTATTTCAAGGTGAAGGGTCTAAAATAGGTAGAGTGTGGTCATTTTAATATCTATTGAAATATACTTCAAATTAATTTAATCAAAAGAGATGTCAGACACTACACACACATCAAAAGAAAACTGCAAGAATTATTTTCAAGTCTTAGTATCCATAGCCCCAAAACAATATCCTCCACTTTTGTAAAAGAAAAACTACTCCATAGAAATTCACCTATTGACCCTCATACACCCATAATGGGACACTTCAATACCCCAGTATCACTAAACTAAAAGTCATCGAGACATAAACTGAACAGTGAAATGATAGAACAGCAGATGTTAGGAACTGAATGGACCTAACAGATATTTACAGAACATTATATATATAATATATATATATATATATATATATTATATAACCAAGTCCATTTAAATGAAAACAAACATTTATAGACAATATTTGGGAATTTGGGCATCGGTCTTTCCAAACTACTTCCTGCTGGCAAGGGGTGCTGTCATGGGGGATTCTAAGAAGATGCAGAAATCCTGGCTGTAGTCTGCAAGGCTGCTTTGTCCAGCTGTTTTGAATGTAGAATCACCTGGTACTCTGTTTCAGGCGGTCTGGCTTGATCAAACCACATTAGTCTGGAAGGAATCCACAGCTTTTCATTTTCTTTACAGAACATTTTATCCAACCACAAAAGAATGTGGTTTTTTTTCTCAGCGCCTCACAAACTCGCTCTAAAATTGTCCCCATATTCAGACACAAAGCAAGTCTCAATAGATATTAGAAAAGTGAACAACTCAATGAGCCCTATCTAACCATCATGAATTAAAATTGATTAGGTTAAAGCAGTATCCATCCATGGGGAATGTGCCCGCAAAGTCCTTTTGTACACCAGGAATACATCCTGGTTCCACTGTATGAGGTCCCTTAGACTGTTCAGTTCTTCTAGCTGAGACCCATGTTCAGGGGTTCTGAGTCAGTCCCATGCTGGATTCCCAGCTATCAGTCTGGGGGCCCATTAGCTCCTCCTTGTTCAGGTCAGCTGTCTCTATGTGTTTCTGCAACCTGGTCTTGTCCTCCCTCTCTGCATCTGGATTCTAGTTCAGCTCAGCCTTAACCTAGAGGGTTAAGTAGGGAGGGCCTAGTCTCTACTCCAAATGACTTGACAGATTTAGATGATCCCTCCTGGAGGGAATCACCCTACATGTGGAATGGGGGAGGGGATGGGAGGGGAGAGTTATCTGGGTGAAAGTGAGGGTGGGATAGAGGAAAAGTGGGAGGGAGGAAGGGAGGAAGGGAGGGAGGAAGGGAAGGGGAACTGGGATTGATACGTAAAATA